TGGGTCTGGGGGTGCACGGGTGTGGGAATGTATGGATCCGGGGGTGCATAGGTCCGGGGGTGCAGGCGCCATCCGCGGTGCACGGGGGTTTCTTGCCGGCCCACGCACGGCCGCGCGGGGTGGGGTTGCCCCGGGCAGCGAAGGGCTGACCCACCTCTGCCCCCGGCCCGATCCTGCCCCGGGAGCTCAGGGCCGGGGGTCCCGCGGAGGCTCCTTGGTTGCTTCGTGGGCACGAGCCGTCCCCGGGGTCTGGGAGGGGGCGCCCGGCGCCCGTCCGCGGACGGGGAGACGCTTGTCCGGAGCGGCCGCCCCGGGCTGGCGAGATGCTGTGTTGGGCGGGGAGGCGAAGGCGGTCCAGCCCAGCTGGGGTGCAGAGCAGTGTGGGGGGGACCTTGCTGGAGGAGCTCCCCATGGGTGGGGAGTGATCCTGCTCCCCTTTCCCTAACCGGGGCCCTGAGGCTTGGCAGGAGACCCTGCCCTGGTCAGGCAGCGCCTGGTGGTTTGCTGGTCTTTGGAGCATCTCCCTGGGGCAAATAAAGGGTGCCCTACAGCCAGCCGTGGGTGCTTCCCGTATGCCAGCTCCCTCTGCTCTCACGCCAGGATCCGGCCTTTCCTCTTGATTGCAGTGCATGGCGCTGCCCACCCCAGGGCTGCTGGTTGCAGGCACCGGGGGGGGGGGGTGGATTGTGCCCTGGGCAAAGCAGCAGCTGAGATCTCCGTGCCCTAGCACAGGAGGGAGGTGTGAGACGGTGCTGTGCTCGTTTCCCAAACCCTGTCCTGCAAATGGTGCCTGTGGGATGCTCCTGAGGTGGGCCCCTCAGCAGATGTTTGTAGCTCTTGCACGCTGTGTCGTGGGAGGCAGGTGCTCGTTTCTTTGAGTCTAGAGTTACGGTGTTAGAGTAATACCTAGAGACCCTGCCTGAGATCAGGGTCCCCATGTGCCCGGAGCTGTACATACACTAACCAGGGAACAGCCCCTGCCCTGAAGTGCTTACAGTTTAACTAGACTAAGGGTGGTTATCCCTACTTTACAGGTGGAGAAAGGAGGCATCTGGAGAATAGGTGACTTGCCTGAGGTCACACGGGAAGCCAGTGGCAGAGCAAGGGATTAAACCCACGTCTCCTGAGGGTGCCTTCACCTCAAGTCTGTTTTCCCTCTCTCACAGGTGCAACGGCAGCTAACCGGACTACAGTGAGGTGCATCTTTCAGTCCCTGCCCTGGCTGCAGGCAGGTATTACCCTGCGCCTGATATCCTCTGTGCCGTCCTCCGGCCTTGTGTGATAGTCTTCCACACCCATTGCCACGCTCGCTCCAGAGGGGAGGGGTGTTGGGTGATTTAAAGGGGTGTCTTGGTCCTCGTTTCACAGGTGGGGAAACCAAGGCACAAGGAGATGACTCCTCCAGGAGCTCTGACTTTAACAATCAGCTCCCTTGCCTCTTTCTCCTCTGGTTAAAAACGGGAGTAAAGATCCTGGCCACCCAGTGCTTTGCGATCCATGGGTAAGAGGCTCTCTGGTAGCAAACAGCGCAAGGCAGGTGCCTCACGGATCACGGGCAAGGGAAAACTCCTCTGTTGAAGCATCAGCGTCTGCTTAAAGCCTTTCCCTTCCTGAGGGGAGTACCCTGGCGCATCTAAACACTGATGCCTATTGTCGGCACAGTTGTCTGCAGCACTAGATCCTAGAGGCCCGAGCGAGTTCCTTTGGTCCACGTGTCCCACCCCTTCCTTGACTGACTCGTGATCCAGCCTTGGGGGTTATGTTCCTTCCCTCTTCCCCTCCTCCCCCAGCCTTGGGCTGGAGGTTGGCAGCTGAGTAGAGAGTCACTGTCTTTAATCTCCAGCCCTAAGAGCGTTGAAGATAAGAGGTTGGTCTGTTTCTTGTGCGTGTGTGTGGCTGGGAAAGGCACCCAGGAGATCCTCTCCCTGATGAAGAGACCAGCCTTGTCCTAGGCAATGAGTAACACCACCACACCCACCTCCGCCGGACCCTCCAACGACTCCCTGGTGGGCTACGTCCTCGTGCCGTTCTTCTTCATCACCATCCTCGGCATCATCTTGGCCGTGGTAAGAGACTTGCCCCGGCTCAGCAAGAGCTCGTGCTGTCCCCATGGCGTTTGCAGGCAACGTGTAGGGTTGGTTGTCCCCGGGGCGGAGGGGTGTCTGCATAATCCTTTTGCACCTCTATTTGCTGGTTCAAACCCAGGCAGTTGGCCCTGCCTCAGTAGCTGTAGTTCACAAAGCAGAAGTCACCTGTTAGCAACCCTAGCAGTGAGACCTGGAGCTGAACGGGCTCTGGGCAGCCTCTGTTCCCCCTTCGCCTCTGGCATGGGAGGCTGTATAAGAATCCTGTCTCTGCCCAGTGGGTTGAGCACGTCAGCTCCTGCCCGGGGCGGCTGCGTCTTCTCTTGCTTTGGCACCCAAAGAGTGGGAGGGAGGGCGTGACTTGTTAGGCTGGTCTGTCTGTCGGCAGCATTTCTCCACCTGTGGGTCGCAAGAATATATGAAAGGGCCACAAACAAACTTAAAAAATGGATCACCAAACTTTAAACATGGATTCTCCCTTAAAGGAAAAAAAATGTGGGAAACTGTGGCTTTTCTTTCGCAGGCTGGCAGAGCTCCAGCCTGCGAGGGGCTGCTTGAGGCTCCCCCTGCCCCACACACCCACCCTGTGCCCCACACTGTGGGGCTGGGGACAGGAGGGCAGCGGGTCGGGAGTGAGGGGCACTGGGTGCTGGTACAAATGGGTCCTGGTACAAAAAAGGTTGAGAACCACTGGCCTAGGGCGCTCTGCTATCAGCGGTGGCTTCTTGTCTTGATTTGATCCCGGTTTTAAGCCTGCCAGTGAAATGTTGAAAAGTTGAGTGTGGAGCTGACTGCATCTGGCTGGGAGTCTTTGCCAGGAAGCAGCTGTCTGTTGGAAAACACCAGTGCGTTCGAGCCGCAACTCGGTGAAGGGATGTGCCAGCTTGGACCCAGCTTTGGGTGGGAGAAGCTGCCTGGCTCTGGGCTGGGTCTTCTGGTCAAAGCCAGGGAGATGTCTCTGTCCTGGGTTTGAACCTGCATCTCTCGGGTCTCAGCGGGGTGCTCAGACCATGAGACTCGGCTGCTTGCGGTTGGTGGGAGAAGGAAGGGAGGGCATCAGGTTCACTTCTTTGGCCCGATGTGGAGAGCTTGAAGACTCCTAGAGTAGGGTTTCCCTGTAAACCATAAGCCTGGGCTGGAGCAAGAAGGGGTGATGGGCTTGGCTGTCTCTTGATGGGGAATGGCTTCTGGCATGACCACAAGATGGGACCTGGTGCAGGCGCTCTGGGGAGGCTCCCTCACCTGTTCTGGGGGGAAGTCTGACTCCGCGGCTGCACTGGTCTTTTCTGGCCTGTGCTAGCGAGACTTGGAGCCCTTAGCCTCTGCTAGCTAGAAGGGCAGCGAGCTACTCACCCCACCTCCCGCTGTAAGGCGGGACAGTCTGCCCAGTGCTTGCTGTCCAAATTACAAAGCACTGTCCTGGACTGGGTCATGGAGATGGAGTTGCCTCACCCCAAGAGCGCAGTTCTTTCCCATAGGTAGCACCTGGCACCAGCATTTCCAAATTGTTCAGGGTTCAAGGCACTGAGCTCTTGCGAGGTCCCAGGCCAGGGCTTGTTGAGTGTTCAGGCCATCTGGGGTGGAAGCTTGCCTTGCCCTGCCCTGCCTTGACCATGACGTAGGTGCCCTCCTCAAGAAGAGGGCTCCTCTCAGGGGTGGGCTGGCCAGCCAGTTCCTTTTGCCAGCACTAGACTCTCTTTAGAGGGTGATCGACCCAACCCCATGCGCTGTGTCCTCCTGACTGAGTTCTCTCTCCCCTCGTTGCAGATGATGTATGTTCAGAAGAAGAGAAGGTAAGAGGCAGATTCTGGGGCTGCCGGCATATAGGGAGGGGTGTGGCCGGTCATGCTGTCCCTGGAGAACAGGGTTCGGGTGTCATGTGGGATCCTCAGCTCTGACCCTGCAGGCGGAGATTATAGCTCAGATCCAGCGCTGCAAACAGGGAAGCCTTTGTGTGTCTGGGGAGAGGCCCTGAGCTGCAGTCAGTTCTCTTGTCCTGGGGAAGGGTGTTACCAGGGGACTGAGGATGTGCACTCTGACCTTGCTCATCTGGAGAGAGACCTTCAAATCTGGTCCCAGGTACAAGTGACATGAGTTTGTGGGGGCTCAGCCTGTGGACTCGCTCTCATCCACATCCAAGCCCACTCCTGCAACGCAGGCTGATGGGAGCGCTGCTTGGACAGCCCAGGACCACTGACATGGAAGCTCCAGCTCTGTCCTAGGCTCGGTTTCAACCTCTCTTCACAGCAGGCAATGCAGGAGGGAAGAGAGGTTGAAACCAAGCTTAGGACAGAGCTGGAGCTTCCATGTCGGTGGTCCTGGGCTGTCCAAGCAGCGCTCCCATCAGCCTGCGTTGCAGGAGTGGGCTTGGATGTGGATGAGAGCGAGTCCACAGGCTGAGCCCCCACAAACTCATGTCACTTGTACCTGGGACCAGATTTGAAGGTCTCTCTCCAGATGAGCAAGGTCAGAGTGCATGTCCTCTGTGCCCCCAGCCCCAGCCGTGTTCCCCTCTGGCCGGGAGCATGTCTTCAACTCCTGATGTTTGGGTCAAAGCGAAGGTTGGGTCTGTGCTCTCCACCTGCTCCCCTCTGCCCTGGTGCCCCCTGGACCTCCTCTTCCAGCAGCTACCAAATGCTATTGCTGGGTTTACTTCGTTAGTCACTTCTGTGTTCAGAGCTCTCTGAAACCAGCCTCCCTGCCCAGCTGTGGGGGTGGGAGGGTCATACCATGGGAGTTCCTGTCCTGTCTTTCCCTTCCTCCTTCCCCACCTGCTTGGCACTTGCTTCTCATGGTCAGCTTTTTCCACCATGTGAAGAATCGGACGTGGGTGTCAGCCTCCTGCCAGCCCCCTTCCCTGTGGTCCAGTGCCACCACCTGGGTTAACAAGCACTGGCTGCCTGACTCTGCTATGTGGATCTCGAATGCCACCACATCTGTGCTGATTGCTTTCTGGACAACAGCAGCCTCTGGTAGCATTCGTTACAGGTTCAAACCTTGCAGCCCTTTGATCAGTCAAGCTACATTGATTTCACTATTCATAATGTATAGTGGGGTCAGGGCCCCATCCTGCTGGGTGCACACAGCCTTGCCCCAGGCAGCAGGGACCCTAGGTATAAAGTGAGACAAGTGGGATGTAGAGAAGTGTGGGGTCCCAGCACACTGTATAAAGTGTGTGGTCCCCTAAAGACTGTAGCGTTTGGCCTGTGGGATCTACATGTTGGTGTCTAGGGGATTTAGGCTGATTTATAATAGGTGTGTTTCTCTTCCCATGATGGCTCTGGAGCTCTCAGCCCCTGTGAGTCTTCCTGCCTCTCTGCTGTCCCTGTGGTGGCTTTGAGTGTTGCTTGGGCAGCCCATAGCCCCACCACGGACAGCCTCACCACCGCCCTGGCTCTCTCTCTGTCTCAGGTTTGACAGGCTCCGCCACCACTTGTTGCCAATGTACAGCTATGACCCCGCAGAGGAGCTGCACGAGGCCGAGCAGGAGCTGCTGGGGGAGGCGGAGGACACCAAGGTGAGCTGCGAGCAGTTGTGGTCCGTGGGGTGGGGTCATTGTGTCTGTGTGTGACCCTGCCTGGGGCAGTACGAGTTGGCCTGATGCTACCTGGAACCACTCGTCCTCTTCTCTTAGTCAGATGATGTGCTTGAGGGCTGGCAGATATACAGAGAAGGCTCTGGCGAGACACGTAGCACATGGCATCCAGGCTGCAAAGTGTAAACTGTCTCTTTTTGGAAGAATCTCTGACCCGTTGTGTCCACCTGCCTGGGATCAGACCATGCACTCTGCCCTTTGCAGAGACAGGGACTGTGGAGTCAGAGCATGAGGCTGGGAGTGAAGCCAGAGGGCTGGTAACAAACCTGTCTTGCAAACCTGGGATCAACGGTGCTGCTTTGTCAGGGCTGTAGAGCTGCTACTTCCTGGCTATAAACTACTTGCAAGTTGTAAAGGGCCGTTGCAAACGCTATATTTGAAAGCGTTGTCATGGTCTTGGAAGAACGAGGCCTCTGTCTGCAGACTTTGTGCTCCCCCTACCTACTCCCAGGTAACACAGGAGATCCCTATCGCAGGAACCCTAGCAGCAAAGTGAATAGTCCTTTCTCTCTGACAACGCTTTGTGTGTAGACAGTGTTCCCCTCTCCAGTCCATTAGGCCCCAGCCTGGCAAACATGCCACGCCACGGTGCCCCGGGAGTATTCAGGTGTATAAAGATACTCCTGTGAGTTTGTTTCAAGACCAGCTCTCCCTTGCTAAAAAGAGCCTGGATTCTCAAGAAGGCAGCAGACCTGCTTTGTGGTTGACTTTTTTCAAAGACTCTTTGAAAAGGGGTTTATTTAAGGAAGCTCCATCATAATCGATTGCAATCAGCCTGCGTTTGAAAAAGTCCCTGTGACCAAGTCCCCTTAGATCTTACAGCGGTTGTTCAACAGGAGCTGCTGAATGGAAGTGGCCTGAACTTTTTTTAAAAATTTGATTTCACAAAAACAGAAGAGAACCTACTTCCTCAGCTTCTTCCCCTTTTTGCTGTGGTCAGAGATCGGGCCTATATATTACACTTGACCATGATCGGTAAGGAGCTGTACAAGATCCTGTTTCCCCATGTGGATCTTCGTGTGATGTGAAATACTTCTGCTTCTTCCTGGGCAGACTGGAGGGGAGACAGCAGAGATCCGTGACAGAGGCCTTGGGTGACAGACCTGGGTTCAGGAGACCTCTGTCACTGACTTCCTGTGTGAAGTTGAGCAAGTCACTTCCCCTCTGTTTCCTTCCATCGGTGTTTCACTCAAGTTGGAAAACAGTTCAGGCCCTTCTCCTTCTCCTTCGCAAGCCCAGGCTGCAAACGTAGCAGGGGGATTTTTGCACCAATGGGTGTTTTTACAGAACCAAAGTGTGGGAACGAGTCCTGTTCAAATGCTGCAGCTGCGCACAGATGAGAAGAGGCCAAGCCTCTGCCATTCGTTTACTGTAGACAAATGAACATTGGTGGTTTGGAAATTAGGTCAGCAACTCAGGCTGGGTGGTGGCTGCGGTCTGCTGGGCATGCTGGCACCAAAAGGATCCCTACAGTGTTGGTGAGGGCTGCATTAGGGCAGCTCTCCTATCAGGAGTCTGGGGCACTAGAGAAATTTGTGTTGGAAGCGCCCAATGCTTGCCCGTGCCTGTTCTGTCTGCATAGCAGGACATTGCAGTGCACTGAAATAGCCAGCTCTGTACAATGGGAGCTGGGAAGGGAATCGGCAGAGACTTAATTGGCTGTTGTGCATAGCACATGTGGGAAACCTGCTTTACAAGAAGTGGTGAGTACCTGTCTCCAAGTGTGCCAGGGTATCTCCGCCTTGTACCCTTTCCCTGCTGCAGGGAGCTGATCCAAAAACCCAAATGCAAATCTTCATGTCATGGGGACTGGCTGTTACTGCTGGAAAGCTCACACCTTTCTTAGCTTGGTCGCTGGTTTGAATCCCAACCTGGCCAGCAACAGCCAGGCATTTAACTCTCTGGTGCCCGTGGGTATGCTGGAGTAGTCTTGGTTCAGTAATAAAAGGGACAAGCGTGAATGCAGCCCAGACTTCCATCTTCAGAGGTGCTTGATACCGATAGACTCAGTGGGGAGGCTGAGATGCGGCTGGTACTTGGAGACTGAACCTCTGGGGCAGAGGCCTGTTGACAGTGGAGACACTTCCTGCAGCTCTGGGTGTTGGACCTGTTCAGGGCACCAGCAGAAGCCTTTGGGCTGCAGATTTTAAGAGAAGAGGAATCAAATTCATTGAGCAAGCCTGACATGGGCAGTAGGATGGGGCCTGTGAACCTGGGGGTGAATGTACTTGAGGTATGTTGCTCAAGACCATTTGATTTTGCAGGCTGCTGCACTCCTAGTATCCTAAGAACAGCCTCTAACTCCATTGCTTTTTGGGGGGTGGATTGGGATGCAGGACTAGCAAAAGCCTCCTGGGCCATTGAATCCAGCCCCCTGCGTTCATGGGCATCCTTAGTGAAAGGAATCCCTCATTTGACCACAAAAGCCCCCACTCACCAACGAGGCATTGCCACACTGTAAGTAAAGGCCTAGTGTTGTTGTCCGGGTTGGGTTTAACTCAGTAGCTGCCCCGTGCGCTGGCTGCAGTCATGCTGCATTGTGTGGAAGGGGAAGGGAGACCTCCCACTGCCTCAAGGCCGGGAATGCTGCCGGGGGAGAGGCCAGGTGGCCAGCTGCTCTGGAGGTGAGCTGGTCTGTGCTGTTGTTGCAGGTGATGCCAGGCTGGGGCGGCGGATACCAGCCCCAGCGGACGCTGCTCATGGACATGAAGGCGTAGCACAGCTCGGAGACCAGCGCTCAGGACAAGGACCAGCCGCCTGCATCCTCCTCGTGTGCAAACACCACGCACTCCTGGCCGGGGGGAGGGAGCCTTCCAGCCCCTGCCACTTTTGCACTTTATTTCTGTTCCCATCTCCACTGTTCCCTCGCCCCTGGGTCTTGCCCCTCATCTGTTACAAAGCAGGATGGGCTTTTGTCTCTTGGCTCCGGCTCTGGAGCCTTCTCTGCCAGCGCCGCTGCCCAGAAGCCTTCCTGCCACAGAAGCACTGAGAGCCCAGGCTGCACCCTGGGCTCACACTGGTGATTGGGAATGGCTATGTCCCCCAATACCCTCCCCCCTCACAGCCTTCTGCCATGGACAGGAGGCTTGAGCTTCCCCCTGTAAGTAATGCAGCAAGCTAAGTGGCTTGGCACCCCTGTAATAGCCCCTCCAGCCCCACCCACTGCAGCCCTCCCTGCATTTATTCAAGCTTCCCCCTCTATGAGCAGCTTCAAACCAATGCAGCTCTGCTACTGCAGTGCATCAGCCCAGAGACCCACAGTCTGCCATGCTGCCTACAGCGCTATGCACGTCACCGGCAGATTACCTTGCTCTGTTGTGTGTGTGTGTGGGGGTGGGGGTGGGGGAGGAAGCTCAGTTCCCTGTGTGGACATGTGCCTATCGCCACGTGCATGGGCTTGTCCCACCAGAGACTCTTAAGACCTAGTCCACCTGAATCCCATGCCACCGTCTTGAAAAGCCATGATGACTTGTTACTGCGATAGGGCAGCTAGGTCGGAGGGTTTGAAGCAGTGTCCAGGGCAGGGTGGGATTGATTTGCTGTCCAGAGTTTAACAGAGCAGTGAAGAACAAAACCCCCATGTTTCCCTGTGACCAGCCAAGAGGCCTTATGTATTTGCCAAGGAGGAGAGTTCTTCCTAGCACAAAAGCTCCTGGAGAGTCTGACAACCAAACTGTGCTAGTTGTAGTTCAGCAAGGTGCATCTTCCTATGGTGATTTTGTGGTTTTTTGTTTTTTCTTTTGAGTAGCTCATCTCTCTATATTTTGTAAATAAAAGGCACTGTGAACGTGAGGCTCCAGCCAGAGTTCAGTTACTTTTCTTCCTGTGAGCTGCAGTTCCTGCCTAAGAGCCGGTGGCTTGTTGGGCTACCCCTGTGTCAGCTGTGGGACTGGGCCCAGGACATCCTTCCTGAAAAGGTACCATATTGTCTGAGCAGAGCAGATACGCCACTGCTGTCCTCTGACGTCAGATGTGCTGCGGTGGCTATGCTCTGTGTCGTAGCATGGGGCCGGGAGGGTGGGAAGACCTGATTTAATCTTACAGAGGATCCCTTATATCTCTTATCCTTTCCTCCCAGTCTTCTGCTCCCCTGCTGTGTCATAGACTCGACCTGCCTTCATTTGGGAGGCAATATTCACAGCTCTCGCTCGGGCAGGGTGCAATGTGAGAGTTGGCCAGGCAAGAGAGTTGGGTTGATACTAAGGGATTTTGCCTGTGGATCATGCGTCGCTGTTACCCAAGGGACAGATTTTCGGTGCAGAGGAGTTGTCAGTCCCTAGTTAGAAAATGAAACCCTGGGGCTGAAGGCTGTTTTTGTTCACTTCCCTCAGGCTGCAGTCAGCAAGGGGATGTGTGTGTATGCAGGCTGCATCTCGCCCTGTACCTCCAATTACAGTGATCAAGTCGCAGCCAGCAGTGGGCTGAATGCCCACGGACCGTTTGGGAATGTGAAGCTGAAACACCCCATCAGCAACCTAGAAAATGCCAATGGGATGTTGCATTGCTCAAAGGAAGCCCCTAAATCACCTTAACTCTGACCCTTTTGATGCAGATCCCCTACCTTTGCCTGCTGGACGTGGGTGCCATGGAGGGTTGGCCTTGCAGCTTACTTCCTGGATAGCTGCTGTGCTGTTGCTACATTTGCCTCTGCTCTTCTTGCATGAGATGGCTTGTGTCTGGAGATGTTGGCTCAGTGTCTAAAATCACTTGCATAACTGGGTGCCATGTGGAATTGTAGGGCTCAGTTGTGTTGCAGTGCTCAGGACTGGGCTGCATTGGGCCCTTGAGAGGAGAACGATACAAGGTTCGACAAGGACAAGTGCAAAGTCCTGCACTCGGGACAGAAGAATCCCATGCACCGGCGCAGGCTGGGGGTGACTGGCTGGGCAGCAGCTCTGCAGAAAAGGACCTGGGGGTTGCAGTAGACAATAAGCTGAATATGAGCCAGCGGTGTGCCCTTGTTGTGAGGAAGGCTAACAGCATCCTGAGCTGCATTGGTAGGTGTGTTGTCAGCAGATCAAGGGAAGTGATTATTTTCCTCTATTCTGCACTGGTGAGGCCACATCTGGAGTACTGTGTCCAGTTTTGGACCCTCACTACAGAAAGGATGTAGACAAATTGGAGAGTCCAGTGGAGGGCAACAAAAATGATTCGGGGGCTGGGGGACATGACTTACGAGGAGAGGCTGAGAGAACTGGGCTTATTTAGTGTAGAGAAGAGAAGACTGACGGGGGATTTAATAGCAGTCTTTAACTACCTGAAGGGAGATGTTCCAGAGAGGATGGAGCTGGACTGTTCTCCGCACTGGCAGATGACAGAACAAGGAGCAATGGGTTCAAGTTTCAGCAAGTGAAGTTTAAGTTGGATATTAGGAAAAACTTTCTTGCTAGGAGGGTAGTGAACTGCTGGGATGGGTTACTGGAAGAGGTCGTGGAATCTCCATCCTTGGAGGTTTTTAAAATCCAGCTTGGCAAATACCTGGTTGCAATGATGTAGTTGGGGCTGGTCCTGCTGTGAGCAGGGGGTTGGACTAGATGTGACCTCCTGAGGTCCCTTCCAACCCTCATTTTCTATGGTTCTGTACCATAGCAGAAGCAATGTGTCCACAAGGGAATTTGTCACGTTGCACGTGTTCTGAGCAATGGTAAAGAACTGTGTCTCACAGCCGTGTGTGGGGATGGACTACTCAGGTGGATACAGCAGTAAAAGGCAGGTCTTGGCGGGTGCCTCCTGGTGTCTTGGGAGGTGCTGTGATGGAACGGGCTTGACGGAGGGGCACAGCATAGGCTACCGAGCACAGTCTGGCTCACTTGAGAAGGGCAGCCCTAACTGCTCTCACGAGAGGTGGGATAAGCTGGCTGTGCTGGGAGAACGCTTCCCTCCCAGACACGAGGGTGGCGTCTCAGCGTATAGGCACCGACTCTGTGGATGCTCCGGGGCTCGAGCACCCATTGAAAAAAAATTAGCGGCTCACCACCCATGAGCTACAGGTGCCCCAGAGAGTCTGGAGAGAGTCATTCCTCCAGAGACCTGGGATCATGTGCCAGGAGGAGCCTGCTCTCATTGGCCTGGGGCCAGCTGGGAAATTTAAGAACAAGCTAGAAGGCTGACCAGCATTCAGCTTCCTACGGAGAGGGGAGAACACAGCAGCAGGGAGCTGTGCAACCTGTGTAGAGATGTAGGACCAAGATGGCCAAATGAAGGAGCCTGAGGAACCAGGACGAGACCCAGCAAGGACCAAGCTGACCCAGGAAAGAGAAAGCTAAGTGAAGCAGGTGGCTGGGCTCCTAAGGGCTGGGTAGTTGGGCCACAGGCTGGGCAGAAAAGAGATCCATACCCCAAGACCCACCAGCAAAAAAAAAGAGTCGGTGCTTGTTTCAGTGCTCCATGACTTGGGCGTTACTGGCATCCCCCAGTCAGTGAGCTCATCCTGGCCAGCCTAGAGCTGGACAGGTCCTGCAGGCTTCAGTCAGGACTTGGTCACAGCAACTGCTTGCTGCTAGACCTCTTGTGCTAACCTGCAACTTCCTAGCCCGGCAGAGAGGGGAGACAGGAGCACAGGTCTCCATGGAGGATGTCGTGGGAGGCTGTGTAAGTGGTGAATTCTTGCTAGAAGTGACCTGGAGTCCAGTGCTGTGGCACGTGCCTGTGTTCCCATCGGTAGTCTCTTGCGCTGTCTGGAAGAACCTGTTGAAAGGCGGGGGCCAGCCCATCACAGACGGGCACTTGCTTGACAGACAGAGAGAGGGAGGGAGTGGAGGAGGCTTGAAACATCCATAAAATGTTTTATTCAAGTAACTGCAAATAGGAAACCAAAAGGTCTTTAACAATGGACCATGAAACACAACTTTCTACCAACTGTCGGCCACCGCCCGTGCTCCCGCCGTGCCCCTGCCCCACCTGGCAGGTGACCTCAACACTCAGTAAAAACTTTCCAACCCAGTGAACTGCAGACCCGCCTTTGCTGCCTTGCTCGTGGCCTTCCCCATGGAAATGACCCCCAGCTCCATTGCAGTTGGTCGTATCTAAAGGGTCTGAGCGGTGTGGTAAAGACATGGCCCCGGCTCAGAAGCCCTCAGAAACCTCCTCCAGGCATGCTTCCCCCGCGAGGCCTGGAGGGCACGATGCCTGGGGAATGAGGTGTCTGGCATGGATTCAGGAGGGAAGAGCAGCTCGTCTTCCACCCCATTCAGCTGAAAGCAGCCGTGTTGTCTGCAGCACCTTCCCTCCAGCCCCCGAACCTCCTTCCTCAGGCTTGAGAGCATCACCTGGGGCAAACCCAAGCCCCACTATATCAAAAGGAAGGATTGATGCAGCAACACCAAGGCCATGCCCTGAGTTCGGCTGGGCTGTTCTGTTTAAGAAATGCCCACAAGTGGAACTTGGAGGTGGCTGAGCAGCCTGGGACAGCTTTGGGGTAAGAGGCATCAAGAGGAGATGGTGAGCTGATCCCAAGGGGCTGGTGGGAGGTGAAGGGGGGGTTTCTCCACTTGATGCCACAAGCCCCCTGGCCTGCAGCTTTCCCATTTCCTCCCAGTTTCCAGTGAGAAGCGCATGGGTGGTGCTGGGAAGTTGCCAGTCTGACCTGGGCACAAGGAGACCCTGGTATCTCTTCCACAGCATCCACCCTCCCTCCCACCAACATTCAGCTATGGGGAGGGATGCCTTCACCACACCACTTTGCAAGGCTCTATCCCTTTTAATAGTATAACCTAATAATTAAAAAAAAAAAAAAATCCCAGTCAAACCAACCTCTGCACTATAGGGTAAATGAATCACTTCTGGAGCAGGGGGAAAAGGGGGGGAAAAAAAATAAAGTACCAGGCAGACCATGTTGGAATAATAAACTGTGCAACCAGTAGAGCAGCAGTAACAGCAGCAGCATATCTGTGGTTAAGAGAATGGAACTTAAATTATCCAGAGGTAGTTATGAATGAAGGAAAAAAAAGAGAGAGAACCTAGAAGATAAAGACCCTCCTTTGAACTGGGGTTTGGAAATGCGGCGGGGACGCCAACTAGCCTCTTCCTGCTGCAGAGCTCCCTACAGCTGATAGGACAGAGGGAAGAAATGGGCAGCACTGCTTGGCAGAGTTCCCTTTTTGGTGGTGGAGACTTGCTCCATGCTCAGAGCAGCTCCGGCAGGCAAAGCTAAAGGGCAAAATGACCATGTGTGGCCTTGGGTGGGCAGGGGGTGGGAGCCTGAAGTGACAAGGCAGCTACCAGTGCAACAGGGCATGGGGAGGGGTGTGTGGGGTCTCTAGTCTTATCCAGCTGTCTGCAGGGCACAGGCTTGTTTTCTTTTAAGTCTGGAGGGGAGATGCAAAGAGCAGGAGTGCTGCTCTCAGGGGACAGCACTGAACTTCAAGCAGAAAAGGATGTGGTTTTTGAGCACTGAGGCTTAAATATTCCCTCAGGGCAGTTCCCACCCAGCCCCAGCCCAGGCTGTCCCCCACTTCCAGGCTTGGGAGTGCAAATTGGTCTTGCCTGGTGAGGACCTGACTGCCAGCTGGGGCCTGTGCCCATTGCTGCCTGCTCCAGCCTCCAGCAGCCTGGGGTGCACCAGAGGGTTATTTCTGCTGGGTGTGGGGAGACCGCTCCCTCTCCGCCACCAGGCTCTCTGGACATTTTTTAAGACCCCCTTGAAGAATTTGGGGTAATATTCTTACCCACCACTTCTATCAGCATTTCTCAAAGCGCTTTGCAAGGGCCAGGATCGCTCTGCCCTATTCTACCAGAGGGAAAAGGGAGGTGCAGGGGAGACGGGACATGCCCAGGGTAAGCCAGCAGGCTGGTGTCAGA